GATGTTTCTTACTGGAACTGCTGCCCTCTCTGTCCCTTTGTGTGTCTTGGTATAGAAGTCTGACTTATTGAAACATATTTCCTCAGACTTACAATTGTAAGCTGGTCTATGTACCACTTAGACCTGGTAGAATCCAATAAGGTTTAAGGACCAGGAGAATGAACATGAGGCAACTTTGGCTTTGGTTTGGGTACCACATCTCAAGGGGGTGGTTTGGGTACCACATCTCAAGGGGGTGTTTCATTGTATTTACTAAGCACCATGTACCTGTACCTAGAAATAATTTAAAAATTCTATAACTCCCAATAATAAGAGAACAATCTTTAGTATCCCTGTGTATGATTTTTATTTCTATCAAGATTGAAGTGACAAAGTTAAATGCAGTGAATTTTTAAGATGGTAAATTATGTTCAGCAACCAAGTGCTGACAACTGGAAATAAGTCTGAAGTCATAAGGATGCTAAAAATAACACCCTGGGGATGGATTACTTCTAATCTTTTGAGCATGTTATTTACTGATCATTCCACGGAAGTTGCTTCTGGATGTGTGCTCAGAATTTTCTCAGCCATCATACTTATTATATCATGGGTTGGCAGATGCCTAAAATAATGTTGGATATTCTTAGGTCAGCTCAGCTTGATCTCGCAGCTGAGCAGATAATTGTCCAAGATCTGGTCTACAACGCTGACCAAAGCATAGCCCTCAGCTTGCCTTTCAGCCCACCATTCCTATCTCCTCCAGTGGATTTCTGAGCCTATAAACTTCTCAGCTATGTAAGGTATTGTTAATACTTTGGGTGTGTTCAATGCATTGTACCTGGGGAAAAGAAGTGAAAAAGAGGAATTTGTTTCTCTGCTTTTCAACATTTTGAGGGGAGGGAAGTAGAGAAGACTATAGTATAAAACTGAAGAGCTGAAAACCCAGAGCTGTCAGTTGCAGGCCATTCTCAGAAGCTGTTAAGCTTCTGAAGATTTTTAGACCCCTTTTTCTTATCATTTTTGCTCTTTTTATAAGTTTTCAAATGTAAAAAAGAGCTCACAGCTTTGCTTCAGGTCTGTAACATCTCAAAAGAGGCAGTGTTTACTATTCTGAAGATTGTAACTTTAACCAGTCATCAACAGAATTTTAAAGGCTCTAGTGGAAAAGTAGCTTCTCTTTGTATTTTTCAGTCCTAAGCCAAGAAAACTCTCAGAAGACTGTCTGGCAAAAGCCAGATATCTTTGAGTATTATGTGCTAAATGTACTCCAAGTCTCTGTTTAGGACCTGTGAGTAACATCCAATTACAGTAAAAGCACAAGAGATAAGCCAGACAAGCTATGCTTAGGGATCCAGCTAAGTCCCAACAATACAATTGATTCCAATGATAATGGATAAGACATTAGGTTCTCATTTTTTATGAAGTTGTCCATGGCGGGTGCCACTGGATCACTCCCAGTGGGAGTGGGATACATACTAATTAAAAATAACTGGGATATTTACTTGAGGGTGGTTTTAGAAAATGGAAATTTGTATATTACCTTGTAACAAGGAACTTCCATTTGAAGATAATTTGCTCCCATAATCCCACAGTTTCTGAAGGCAGTTGGCCCAAGCCAGAGGGCTCTTCATCATCTCTAAGCCCTTTCCATCCTGCAAGCTTTGCCTTAGGATGTCTGAGTTTGAGATCACTGACTATTTATGCTATTCTAGAGTAACACAGAGGGAAACTGGTTTTAAACTAGCAATTAATATCACCACATCTGAGACACAGGAAAAACACCACTCTAGAACTCTGGAACAAACCTCAGAGGGCATCAGAATTCCTGGTTCTTTTTTTGGATGATTCCATTGTACTTGTACAGACTTTCAAATACTAATAGCTCAAATCAAATGACAATTATTAAAACTGGGTCAAAGTAAAAGGAGGTAAATTAGAAAACATCATAACTAGCACAGTTTTAGAAAATTGTACCATGGTTTCCTTTCTAAGTGTGTTACTTGTTAATTTTTTTCATCAAAACCCCTTGTAAATGTTCCCCAGAATAACCACACATCGTGGGAATTATCAATGTTACATTAATTACAATAAATGAATATTTATAAATTATGGTAATTAATATATTAAATTATATTCTGTGGAACCTTTCAGGCTCTCCCTTTGGGAGAGAACAGCTTTAAAAATGTTTGATAGTTAATAAAAAGTTAATGTATCCCCAAAGTCACTGAATATTCTATTTAATCCAAGGGCTCCTTTCCTTTTATACAAAAGGATCAGACTGTTGCAGCTGCTTTAAAGGTATGACAGAGAAGAAAAATAAATCCCCTACACAAAGCAAAGGAACTCACCTAGTTGCTTTCTACCACATCTACAGAAAGCAGGACTTTGATAGAAATTGGAATGGATCTTTAAAAACTAATGAGATTAAAAATTGAATAGTTCAAAAGTTGACTGACTGATCATTAATTAGCTTTCTAACAAAGCTAGACTTAAAAGTAAATTCTATTACCTGCTATACAAAATTGGGATTTAAAATAAAAAGAAGCAATACTTCATCTAGACCTCATTTCATTAACATACTTAAGGTGATAACAATATTTGGTGTTGAATGAGGGAAATTTTATGAACTATATTTCATCATATAACAAAATATGGTTAGGCTTTCAAAAGTAAATCATCAAGGCTTCATATGGTTTATTGCTTTTCTTAAAAAACATCAGTTAGGCTTGAAAATAACTTTGAATTACTTTCAGTGATAACTAAGTATTTCCTCTGAATATATTGAAACCACTTGGGGAAAGTAATTATGAAATGTAAGGGAGCAGTTTACTGTGACACATAAGTAACCAAAATGGAAACTTATTCTATATTTTATTTATTTTTATTTTCATTATATCCACTAGGACACACCCCTGAAAGCAGGATGGTGAACTCCCAGATGGTGGGGAGGGCTCACCTTCCTTTTTGGTTGGCCCTCCCATCAAGAAGAGCCAGGGGCCGGGGAGATGGCTCAGTAGAATAAGTGCTTCCTTGGCAAGTGCAAGGGCCTGAGTTCAATCCCCGGTTCCACATAACAACAACAAAAAAGTGAGAGCCAATGACTTGACCTCAAGAAGACTTTTGAAAGAGGTCAACTGTGTGGACTTCCCATCCCTTTCTGGTTAAGAGGATTCGCTGGCACTTGAATGGCTTTAAGCAGGAGCTCAGAAGCATGCTCAGTGGAAGCACAACTGTCACCTAAGTTTCTGCTGCACCTGGAAGAAAGCCCAGGCCTGCGACCCAGCTGGCTTCTCTTACCCTCTCCTCTCCAGGCCTCTCCTGTCCTCTTCTCTCCTCTCCTTTCCTCTCCTCTCCTCCCTTCTCCTCCCTCTTCAGCTCCCCCCTCTTTTCCCTTTCTCTCCTCTCCCTTTCCTTTCCTTTCCCTTCCTTTTCCTACCCCTCCCTTCCTTCCCTTCTCTTTCCTCCCCTGACCCTTCTTTCACTACCCATTTGCCATGTTCCCCTTTCCTGAACACCAGCTCTTTCTGCCCACCTGAGAAGTTTTGTATCTTGGTTCTTCTGCCCCAAATGCCCCTGCCTTCCAATTTTGCTTGGTTAACACTTTCTCATACTTCTGGGCTCAGCCTCTCAACCCTCCCTTTCCCCATTCAATAAAATAAAGCTTCTCTTGTTATTCTGTCTTATGACTCCCTGATCCTCTCCCTCCTTGTGTAATTCAATTTCAAATTGTTTGAAAGTTTATTTACTGGACTTCCTGTCTTCATCGGACAGTGTGCTCCTTAAAAATCAAGGCTCATTTCTATTTTGTTCATTCATATATGCTCAGAATTTGTGGAGTTCCCAGGATGCTGTAGGTGGTGTGTGGAGGGAATGGATAAGCAAAAGGAGAAAAAGATTCTTTTGAGTATATAGATGAAAAAATTAAATCACATTAAAGATATTAACTAATAGTCAGTGGTCGTTATGAGCTGAATATCATCCCTAATGTTTTTTCCTGGAAGAATTTTGTTTAACATTATATCAGGCATGAAATTGTCAAAAAAGTTTCAGTTTCACAAAGATAAAACTTGGTAAAAATGTTTAGGTTTATACAGCTGTGAACTCTATAAAGTGATGCCAAAATAAAAAAAACAAACTACATAATAAAACAGTTGTAAAATTCTAGTTTCAGAGGGTAAAACATAATGTACAAATAGATCACTATTGTTTGTTCCAGTTAGGTCAGTGAACTCGTACATCATTCACAGTCTAAGAAGTCAGGAGAGAGCTCGCGCTCGACTGCTGTTTCAACATAATTTTGCTTAGTGCTTTTCTGAGATCTGAATGGGCATTCTTCAAAAGTGTCCCTCTGTTTTTTCAGTAAGGACTGAAAAACTGACACAACATTCTGTGTTGAGGAAGAAGTGCATGAATACACACTCATAGCAAAGACAGGCCTCAGCAGGAAAGGAGCCTCGGTTTCAGCTCTTAGTTCACTGCCCTCAACATCACGTTCCTGCACTAACTTCTTCATTTATTCATTAATATGTATTGAGAACTTACTGTGGATCTAGCCCTGCGGAGGTTCTTGACAATACAATGGTGAGCAAAAAAGGGACAATTCCTGATGTTTCCTTAAGCAAGTGTTGACTTCATCAATAAATATGATTCCTGTTATCATGGGGATTATGCTGCTTTCATTTGTGTTGAGTTCATTTGTGTTGAGTCATTCATAAGATAGGACGATAGCTTTGCCACCAAACACTACCTTGGATAAACTCGTTCTCTATAGTTATTGTAGCAACTTAAAGGTAAAATTATGCTCTCCTTTATTCAGTAGATTTTCCTCTTTTGTTTGCCATATTCTTTTGATTTGACTGCAATGAAATGATTATACATTTAAGGACTTTATTCACTGTTCAAAATAGGCAGTTCCAAAGCTGAATGACATCTGGCCAATACTGAAGCCTGTGGCTTTTGCCTGATGTTTATTATTTACCCTTTTTGAGAAGACAAACCCTGGAAGGTCCAGCAGGACTTACCTTCCTCCAAGGGGATGGTCTGTTCTGAGGCTGGCGAGGGGGGTGGAGAGGGAGGCAGATTAGCTGTCTCTTCAGGTGCTGCAGACCAAACAGTGGAGAAATGGGACAACAATAATTCATTCTATTAGTCTAGTGGATCTGTGGAGAAGTTTCTCCATCTGTGAAAAGGCCCCTCAAGGAAATCCATGGAAAGATTCAATAATAACCTGCATTTAACCTGTTTTTAGCCCCTTTACCTGGTCCATGTATTTAATAATCTAAAAATGTAAGCATTTCATATATATTTTTTAATAAAATTGTTTGTCTTCCCCATAAAAATAGAGATGAATACCGAAATTCTATCATTCCTCTCATTAATTTCTTTCTACTTGCTCAATTAACAATATATTTTACTTAGCCATGTTACAACAAAGAAAAACACTTGTAGGCAGGCATTTTAGTCTGGATTATGCTAGTCTAAATAAAAAAAAAACACAAAAAACTTCTGTTGGCCAAATGGTTTATCTGGAAGTAAATGTTACTTTGATCACTGATAGTTATATTAGCTGCCACCTTTTCCAAATAATATCCTGCTTCCTGGGTCTAATGTCAAAATCATCTTCTCAACGTATTCTCAGACAGCGAAGCTGTGTGGCCTCAGGCATCCTTCAGACATAAAGCCCACACTGGTGGGAGCTGAGTCATCTTCTGGCCTCAGCCTTGCACCCGAAGAAGGACAGAGAGAAACACAGAAGATGGAAGTCATCGACAGTGAATGCTACCATCTGCAATTTGCTCCTGAGGATTCTGACCTTCATGAGGACCCCTGGGATGAGAGCATGGAACTTCTCAAGGAAATACTACTCAGCTAAGGCCAGTCAGTGGTTCACTCTGTTTTAAAGATCACTCAACTTTCAGTTTTATAAACAGTTAGTAGAGGCAGCTTTGGGGTGGTGGAGGCCTTTTTCATTTTCTTGAACCCGTGGGTTTTACTTGGCGTATGTTAAGATTCAAAATTTTTAAAAATGAATTTTTTTTTATTTCAAAGAAGTAAACAATAGGCTAAAGAGGAATGTTTTTGATTACAGTTCCCCTCTCCATTATTTTCCCCCTCTCCATTTTAAGATCAAAATAATTCTTGATAAGCCACTCAGAGACTACTATGTATATTCTATATTTTGAGAGAGCAAAGTACTTTTATTTATTTTTATGTGTTTAGTACAGAGTCTACAGGGTCTCATTACATAGATTGGACTTGTAGTGATCCTCCTGTTTTCAGCCTCCGGAGCACTGGGATTATAGGCATGTGCTACCACACCCAGTCTCAGTCACCATCTCAGCACACCCTGGGGTGGGGGCCAGCATGACATGTGGAGCTGGGAATTGAACCCTGGTCCCTGTGCCTGTCTAAGCAAGTACTTTAATCCACTGAGCTATCTGGCTGGCCCTTTAGTTTTAGTAGAGGCTTGAAGGACTAGAAATAAGAAAATTAAGGACACATTGGACTATAAGAGAGAATAATGGATATGTAGTAATTTTTATGGGTTAGAAGGCATACCTTTCTACAGATGAGGTATAAGTATATGTGAAATAAACATGTATATCGAACCTAAGAAAGTGTTTTTCCTTGTATGCTTTCATGTATGCACATGTGTATCTTGGTTTACTTACTTTTCTATTTATGAATGGGTGGGGAAGTAAGCCTTTAGCTGAGTGTTTTCTGAGAAAACATGAGCCACATTATCTGCCTGTCACTGAAGCGTAGTTGATGTGCGGGCAAGAGAAAAGGTAGGGCTATCGATGCCCCAAGAAAAGCCAAGCAGTCAGTATTTGTCATGTGATAGAGTCACTGAGGATTTTATCAAAGCTCTAGCTCTAGGTTTGGTGTAGCTACTTTGGGAAGACAGAAATAAAACTATGGTGTAGTTAATCATTTATCAAAACCCATAAAGGGAAATCACCATCTCTATCTGGAAATTTCAGTACCTTTTCCTTATGTGTTAGTGTCCACGCAACCCTCTAATGGTTTAGAAAATGGTAACTTATGGGCTACTTCAGGAAATGTTTAATTATATGTTTATTACTATAAAAAACCCACCCAAATCCAAAAATCCTGGGAAGGAGGGTGGAATTAATCAAGACACTGCAAGTTCTAAGCTGCCTTTTAACAGGAAGGCTTGATCAGTGTGCCCAGCCCCAGCCCCGAGGCTCTTCTCCACTTACCTAAAGGCAGAGCTGTGGGTTGGTCTTTGTGTTGCACTTCTTTCTCTTGTTCGCCTTTCAGGACGGCTACAGCCTCAGCTGTGACCACTTGAACTATCCGAGCAGACACCTCCTCTGTAACAAACAGTAACAGAAGAAATGGTAGCAAGATATTGGAAGGAGGTAGTGAAGAAGCAAGGCCACTAAACTGCAGAATGGATTAGAACTTCTACTTGCTGTCTTCTCACCAAAAAATTTTTGAAACTGCAGTTAAAATGCGCGCGCGCGCGCACACACACACACACACACACACAGAAGATAGAAAAGAAGGAAAATTGGCATTAACTTCTATGGCATCTTATGTTTCAAAAGTTATTTACATAAACAAGAACAATTTATTTAAACCCTGTAAAACAAATTTGAAGAGAAAAGAGAAGATTCATTTTGGATTTAATTGAAGGTATACAGTCTGCTTACTTTGGTCTAATAATGTCATTCAAACAGGTTACTGTGCTCACTTGCAGGAACATGATTTAAAACCTGAAGAAGAGCCTCAAAATGTGTCTCTGTGATTAAAAGGATCAATATTGTCTCATTTACTTTTTATTTGTTGTGGGACAAAATATCCCACAACCCAAAATTAAGAAAGGAAAGGTTTATTTAGCTCACAGTGGAAATTTTAGTCTATACCTTAGTCTATATTTGGCTGGATCCAGGACAGTAGCACATAGCAGCAGTTCATGGCAGTGGAAAACAGCAAAGTAAAGGGAGGAGGTGCAGCTGCAGCTTGTTGCAAGCCTTTCTCCCTTCTTTTTTACGCTGACTGCAAAGACCAGAGATCTCTGAGGAATGGAACCCTTTATTCTCCTCAGTTTATTTTGCATGTCTTTTTTGTGTTGAGTCACTCTAGGGTGGGCCCTCCATGCCCCAGGGAGGGCCCGCCATGCCCCACGGTGTGGAATTGCTGAGCAGATTTAGTTAAGCCTTTAACTTCTCAAGCTGACACAATATATCAACCACTAAAATCCACCCCTTGTCAACTTGGCAACTAGACATATTTTTTTAAAAATTAGTCTCTAGATACAAAGGCATGCTTATTAACATTTCATAATTTTAACATTATAACACAGGTTTAACTATCATTAAGAAACACTATTAATTCTGTCAATATTATATTATATGAGAACCATAACATTTTGCCCCTGGCCCCCCAAAGGCTCATAGACAAACCTTTATGCAAAAGGCACTTAGTCTATGTGCAAGAGTTGCCAAAGTCCTAACAGTTTTAGCAATGCTGAAAATCCAAGTCCCAAGTCTCCTCCAAGATCTAAGGCAAACTCTTAGCTGTGAGCCTCTGTATAAATGAAAAGTTAAACACTTCTAACATTTAAAGGCATAAGATAGACATGACCATTTAAAAAGTACACACAGAAGGATACAAAGCATTTAGGCCAAAGCAAGTCCCAAATCCCAAATCAGGGCAAACATTAAGTCCTGCAGTTCCACGTTTAACATCTGAGGCAATCTATGGCAAACTGTGAGCTCTATGTGGCTGTCCCTCTATGACACTTGGCTCTCATGGCTTCTCTTTCAGACCTGCTTTACTCTCTTGTTGCAGCTTTCCTCAAAAATCTAGGTTTTTGGCTTGTCCAAACTTCTGTGATTTTTATTGAATAGATTTTTCACTCACAGCTTTACATATTGCCCTCCCAGGGGCATACTGCCTGGCTGCCCAGGCCTTCTGAAATATAGGTGGAAGCCTCTTTAACCTCAGAATTCTTGTATTCTGCATGTGCCTAAAACTAATATCATGTGGATGATGCTAAGTTCTGCTGCCGGTTGGAAGAGTAGCCAAGCAGTTTTTCTTTCTTTGCTGTAGGGGTCAAGTGGCTGGATTACTGATCACTTGGGCCCTGATTTTATTTATTTATTTATTTATTTATTTATTTATTTATTTATTTATTTTTGGTGGAACCGGGGATTGAACTCAGGCCCTTGCACTTGCCAGGGAAGTGCTTATTCTACTGAGCCATCTCCCCGGCCCCATCAGACCCTGATTTTGAGGAATAAATTTTCTATGCCACCTCCATTTTGGAATCTGGTTGTGGCCGCTACCTCTATTTTGGAACATGGGGCTCTATGGCTTTTTCCTTACAGTGTGGTCCTCACCTTTGCAGTTTTGAGGCTGCAAAGGGTGAGGACCTGCTCCATCCTGAGATTCCCTCAGGACATCCTTCCTATTCTCCTGAGTAATGGAGTCACTTTTGGTGGGCCCTCCATACTCTAGGGTGTGGAATTGCTGACCAGATTTAGTTAAGGCTTTAGCTTCTCAAGTTGACAACATATCAACCACTACAAATGTGAACAAGATAAATTATGAAAAATTGAAATAATAAGATTTCAAAGAAATACAATATGTAATGGTCTTTTTCTAAGGAAATATTTGTCTTCTAGGTAGTATTTTAAACATTTTTTAAGGCCATACGACATATATTTTTCCTGTAAGCACAGTAGTTCCATTAAAAACCAGAAGGCTTATCACTAAAGCCATTAACCAGTGAGTTGCTAAAATAACTAGTTTGGGGTTAGAAACACTTTCAAAAGGTCAAAGAATAAATTCTTTATTGAAATTTTACTGGGCCAGGGAGATAGCTCAGTAGGGCCAGGGAGCTAGCTCAGTAGAATAAGCACCTGCCTGGCAAGCACATGGTCCTGAGTTCAATCCTTGGTACTGCCAAAAAAAAGAAAAAAAAGTTGCCAGTATTATTGTGCAGGGTTCTGAGTTCAATTGCCGATAATGAAAAAAAAAAAAAAATTTAACTTTTTTTTTTTTTATTTATTTTTAAAATAATTTTATTGAGAAACAAATAGCAATGAGACAGTTTCAAACCAAATTGGTCGGACAGTTTCAATAATTAACACATTGCATACTTTCTTCCTAGTGCTTAATGGCTGTACAAGATGCGGACATGATATCCTATTAACAAGCACCATTAGAACAAATCCCTCTATTCATTAAGAGAATGTAACTATATATCTATCCTAACCACTTTGAATACACAGATACAAAATGGACATTCATCCGTATCCCTTTTTTTGGTTAAGTTCCATTATTTGAATATTATAGGTGTGTAAACTCAGCAAAATATTCTAAAAGAGTCCAGTAGTTCATAATAGTATTGGGTCTTCCACTTGACTGGCAGTGTCAGAAATTGTTGACCTGAGTCCCCTACAGCTTAGCATAACAGAATGGCTTTACTTCTTAAATTTCGTTTTTATACTTTTCTGCTAGATGGTTAAGACCAAGGTAAAGCAAGACCTATGCAACAAGAGTCGTAGCTTTTGGGTCTGATAAGGTCAGTGAAATCCCCTCAGGATTTATCCTGAGATCCTGTACCTCAGATTGTAGAACCTTTGTCAGTGTCAGTCACGTGGATGAGTTACAGCCATTGCTTGGTTAATGTGCTCTCTGTGAAGGCCTGAGAGAATGTTTTCTCTCCATGTGACTCCTTAGGCACACTCTACATCATCGATCACTTTCCTCTTTGGCCCCATAATCTCCTTGATCAGAAAATTTGGGACACTACCGAGTTACATGACGTTACAGTACAAGTTCTCATATGTCCTGAGTCTTAATTGACCTTGGAAGGCTAGGACCAAAATGTTGGCTTTCCCTGCAGCCCTCCTTTTTCTCTAATTTTGGTCTACAAACTTAGGTTGTTAACCATCCAGAAGACAAGCTTATTGTTATTACCATACAACTTAGGCTGTTAAGCTTAACCTCACTATCTGTCTGAATATCAAACATCTTAGGCATAACATGGAACAGGTATTTTCCATCAAGTATTGATATGTTGAACTTTAAGTCCCTACAGAATATGATGAAAAGCATTTAAAAATTAGAATATATTTAAAAAATATAGGCTGGGAAATTTACTTAGACTCATTGTGCCTCAAGCCTCATTCATAAAACAGAACTAGGAATAGTATCTCACAGTATTTGTCTTGTAGTACTGTATAGTATTATACTGACTCAATTACATAATTAGATAATGGACATAGCCCAGCAGGGAGTTCAAGTAAAAGGAAGAGTTTCAGATAGTTCTTTATCAATGTGTTTTTATTTTGGCCTGGTCATACAGTCTTCACTTTTTTTAAAAGTATGTAGTACAGGGTCTACAGGGTTTCACTACACAGATCAGACTTATAGCAGTTCTCCTGTTTTCAGCTTCCCAAGAGCTAGGTTTACAGGTGCATGCCACCATGCCCTGTCTCAATCCCCTTCTCAGCGTGCCCCGGCAGCGGGGCTGGCATGGCAAGCCAGACATTGAACCTCAGTCCCTGCATTTGCCTTAGCAGGTGCTTTAATCTGCTGAGCTATCTGGCCAGTCCTATATTCTCAACAAGTTATCTTTACATTTCTACTTTAAAGAAAGAGCAATAGTGCCTAGGCAGTGAGGCTGTTATTTGTAATGACAATCCGACAGTACTGTTCACCCACTATCACTATTGTTGATGGTCAAGCAAAGTATTTTTTCCCAAAACAACGCTATGAGAGAAGTAAATATTGTCTTTGTTTTCTATTTTCTGGCTTGATACCATTCCCTTGGCTGTGTAGATTCTGAAGTACCATCTGCTCAAAATTCCTGCCAGTGAGTCTCCATTCAGGACCATCTTAGATGGTCCCGGAAGGCATGATAACCCTGTCAACCTAAGGAAAATCAGCACCAGGAAAAATACCCTGAGAGGCCAATATTAGAATACATTTTAATTGTGTATTCCATACTTTCTCTACCTTCTGTCCTCTTTTCTACTTTCTAGTTTAGTTTGTTTTTTTCCCTCTTCCTTTCAAACAAAGTAGTGTGATAACTATGACATAGTTATCAAGATTAGAGAGGACAGTTATATAAATAATTGAAAGCTAATATTGACTTTCATAGCTGAAAACATAGCACCGCTTTTTCCAATGTGATGTTTTGAAAGATTCAGTGAATTTGTAAAAATTTTGAGATGAATATTTTTTTGTTTACATTAGAAATTATTTTAAAGAGGGCATGTAGGGGCTGCGGAGATAGCTCAGCAGTCTAAGTGCCTGCCTGGCAAGTGCAAGAACATGGGTTCTATTCCTGGTGCTA